TTCGAGGAGCCTTGATCAGGTATTCTATGTAACATGTCTCAGTTTGAGTTTGTCTGAGGTTGTTCTTACAGTTAGACTGGGATTTTAGGTTTTAGAAAAGACTACCACAGAGGTGAAGTTCCCTTAACATATCATATCAGAGGGTACATGATGCTAACGTAACATATTCCACATTTTGTTAACCTTAATCTCTGGTTAAGGTAGTCTTTGCCAGAGCTCTCCACTGTAAAGTTGTTATTTTTCCCTTCCCATATACTCTGTTCTTTGGAAGCAAGTCACTACATTTAGCCCACACTCAAATTGAGGGAGATTAAACCTACCTTCTCGAAGGAGGAGTGTATAGATGTATCATTTGAAATTCTTCTAAGGAAGTTTTATCTCTTCTCTTTATTTATTCAATCATTTACATACACACACATATGTAAATGATTGTATATTTTATTTTTTACTTTGGGTTATAATCTCACTAGATACCTTTTATTTAGATTCAGGACTTAAATTTATGCCTCCCATTCTAATCTTTTGTATGTTTTTTTTATTCCACTCTCCTTTTTTCTCCTCTCTGTATTACCCATAAGTGAGTAGACATATGTCCTTGTCTGTCATTCATCTAAATGATGACATTATTTAACATCAGTCCTATGTAAAACCCTCTGCAGATGACTGATAAATTCCCTCTGGTTACATATTCTTCTTCATAAAAAGAAGCCTGTCAATTTTATAATAGGTATCAAAAATAAATTTTCTCAGTCTGATCTAAATTTTCACAAACCTGTTTTATTTGTTAACAGACACCTTTTTGTTTGTTTTTGCAAATCAATTCGTTTTGATTATAAGGGGCAATATTTTTGAAATGAAGAAATCAAAATAAAGGTGAATTTTTGAAAAACCTGGACCCAATTTTGGTTCTTTTTCATGTTTCAGTCACCCCTCTTCCATAAATTATCAAAAACACTGGTCAGTTGGTGAATACCTTTGTTCACAAGACATTGGGTGGGCAGAGCATCCAGTATGGCCTACTTGATTGTTTTTAAATTATTTCTTCTTTCAGTCTTAGATTTTTGCATTTCCATTGTAGCTGTTCCTGTTGAGTTTTCAGACTACTGATGAACATTTGGTCAAGAAAACTATGGCTTGTTTAAGAACATTCCTTTCAGCAGTATTTTGTCCATTAAGTCAGTTTCGATTTTAGCAGCAGGAAGAGATCTTTCTGTCTCTGGGGATGAATGAAGTGGACTACACCGTTCTCAAAGCCATTCCTCTGTTGCCTGTTTGAGTTAGCACTGGCCTCGTGGTGTCCTTGTCTGGGGCTGCTGACCTGGCTGTCTGATTGGAAGGTAGAAACCATATCTTTAGCAGAAGTATCAAAGGCAAAAGGGCTGGGGGAAGAGAGGTCAACAAATGAGCAACAGAGGGCAGGGTTTGTTTTTTTTAAGTTCTCTTATTTTTTAAATCAGACATTCTAAAATATTGCCTCTCTCTCTCTCTCTCTCTCTCTCCCCACCCCCCCCTGCCCCCCAGAACATATGTTCCCTGCTCTGTGGAAAACTGTTTTCTGGCTAAGTTGGGAGTTGGGTTATCTTCCCTCAGGAGGCTTATGCTCTACTAGGAGGGACAAAATTCTCACACAGACGAATCCTCAATTTAGATTACATTTGTTATCAGCAAACATATTAACCGGTTTCTTCTGAATTTTTTGTGCCTATAGCCAATGTTTGACATCTCTAAAAACTTTGTGCAAAGCTCACACTTTATGTAATCAAAGTGGAATTATCTTTGGGTCTAGGAGTTTAGGATATAGCATGCTTTTTTTCTCCTAAGGGATAATCATGTGACCTATTTTAAATACTTCATAATTTTATGGATTTTGGTGTTATTAAAGTTTTTTGACCTTGGCAATATTGGTATTTTCCCCCAGAAATAAAAACAGAGTATACAGAATTTAGAAACATTAAAAACATCAGCTTGGTTTTGGGCATAAAAAATGAAATGTTGCTAAATTTTATTAATTAAAATTTTTAAAAATTTGCTTAACTTTTATTTAGCGGTAGGTAGAGTAAAACAACCTTTTTATACTGTTTCTCTTCATTGCTCCATTTCTCTGTGCATCTTTCCTTTTTCCCTCCGTTCTTAATTAATTAGAAAAACATTTTTGAAATTTGGGGCCTTTAAAATAGTTCTACATTTCCATTATAATTTCAAGGGATGTATATATCAATGTGAATTTCCCTTTCCTTCTCCCTTGGGAGACATCAGGGAAACAAAACTAGACGAAAACCCTGTCCTCCAGGGAGCTTCTGTCCTAGTGGAGAAGGTCGACCGTAAACATGTAAATAAACAAATGATATAAAATATCGCGATGACAAGTGCTGTGCAAGAAAATAGAACTGCGTGGAGATGCTGAACACCAGTATATATAAGGTGAAGAATAATGAATTTGATTAATTTTCTGGGGGTGGGGGTCTCAAATTCAACAAAGCATGGTGGATCACTCCAAGTT